GCGTAAAATGATGTGTTTCATATGTTTATAATTTTTCGTCGATAAAAATACACCGAGTTGCAAATTTGTTTTTTTGAAATTTCGTCCGAGACAGATAGTGTGAGTGAAAGCCAATAATTTTCTTAGTAAAGGCTAAGAAAGATTGCAATACATACTAGAAATATGAAAAAGTTTAAGTTTTAAACAGAATTTCAAAAAATATGAAATATCTGGAAACTCATTATAATACATTTCAGGACATATTGCAGAATGATTTCAGACTTCATATAGCACTTATAAAAATTTTCCAAAACATATACAGGAGAAATATTGCTGAAACTCGCGAAATACTATAAATTGACCAGAAATGTTTCTGTCATTCCGTTTTTTTGTAACAAACCTTATAGCATCGGTGAGTTCATTTACATATCTCGATTCGATTTGCATCAAACCTGAACATTTGAATCTGCTGATATTACTTTAATATTTGTTGGATCGGCTTCGAACGCTCTTTTCCATCATCATCTGTATATTATTACAATATTATCTGATGCATAAATACAAAATTAAAAACAGGAACTGTTTCTTCTATATAAATATTAACCTAACTAAAACTGCTGATTGAGTTTGAAGATTATTTCTGACGAACATCGGCCAATCAAATCATAAACGATCAACATTATAGAAAAAAATGCAACTGTAGAATCCGTCCTCATTAGAAACTGTATGACTGTTAGAAATTTTAGATATGAAGTATGTTTTAATTTATTCCTCTGATGTACAAAACTGTAGTTGTTCTGAGCTATATACATCGCCCGCATACTAACTTTTTGATCATTAGCTATTAAGAGGATTTTTCCAAATATTAAACTATTAAAAGACATATTCTTTCTAAAGACGATCGACATATACGTATCAGTATGCTCCACTATAACCAAACAGTGAACTTCTCCTTTAAAGTGTTAAGATTTTACATCGACGTAATTCACACTTTAAGATGAATATCGAATGAAAACCACAACATGAGGTACTAATTTGCAGCCTTATTATTTTATGTGCTTTAGCATGCCCAAAATTTCTTCTGTTAAAATAATGTTCTATAATGATTTTCTTAAAAAGTCAATGAAAAACCGATAATTCAATATATTTTTAAGCGGCTGGTGCCAAAAATTATTGTACTGTTGCTTCTATTACATATGATAGAGTAAGTCGAATCAAAGGACATTAATTAATTAGTGTCGGTTGTGATTTATGTAGACCGACTCATGGAGATAATTTCAATATTTAGCTTGGTATATATATCTTCGAACTATATTCATGTAGTAACAATTCTAAACATGCCTGATAATGACTATCACAGCAATAGATGAGACGTGTCGTAAGATGGTTGGAATCATTCTTCTATGAACACACTCACACCCACCATACATCATTCGAATTCTCTTGATTTTTGTTGTCAGTAACAACTTGACACATGTGATAATCCTTGTCATAATCATAAACAGGTGGATAGTGTTTTGAATTACTTTTGATAATGAAAAACTAGAGAGTTTCGGCTTTTCCTTTAAAGTAGACGATGAAGACAAATGAAATCATATATCACTGGTTTTATTTGGTAAAATTTTAGCAGCCTATAATCAAGCTTATTGAGAATTAAAGCATCACATGGATTCATTGCAATTAATTTTCAACAGTCCGATGCTCACTAGAACCGACAATAGAACACTGAAAAGTTACTCATGATTCAGATTTATTGCTTTAATCCTATGGCAATTTCAGGCATCCTAGTTGATATTCTCATGCTGTTTATCATACAAGGATCAGAAAAATATTACCGCGGCTCATCAGTTTTTTTTTGAGCTTCTCTGTACATTTTAAAGATTAGTGATTAAAAATTGTCTCGACAAAGCGTAAGAAAAATCAATCATATACAGTTCGATGCCGCTTCATCATCTCTTTGTGAGAGAAAGAAACGCAGCACTCTAACTTGTGTCTATCGCAAGTGGTTCACAAAGCTATCCAATTTTGTTCTATTTTCAAATGGCCTGTAATCACTGGCCATTTGAGCAACATTCTATATCGCATTTGCCGTTGGAGCATGCTGTTACATTGAAATAACTAATAGACCAATGATCTTTGTTCCTTTTGTACTTATGAAGTTTTCTAAATGCACAAGTCATTCACACGAGCTTTTATTTTCACAAAGAAAGCAACATTCGACTTACGTCTGCATCTACGCCAAAATGAAGCTCTGTATGCAGCTACACAAAAACGGCTTCTGCGCGCTCGATCGATAGCAAAGATACAGCATGAGTTTGCTCTTGTAAGGGTAGATTAGAGCAGACCTAGTCATTAGATTGAGCCTCAAACTCAACTCATATCACCAGCATCAGTCGTTATCCCATCGTCATCATTCATCATCGGTTTCTTTTTCTTGAGTGCACCTTTTTTCTTCTTGTCCGTCAACCATTGATCGAAAGATATGAGTGCGCGTTGTTTTTTCTGTTTTTCTTTTCTTCTATCTTGTTCTAACTTTTCCAATTTTGCATTCTGCGCTGCTTGACGAGCGGCAATCAATTCTTGATCCTTGGTCTTTTTCCATTTTTCAAATGCACGAGCTGCATCTTCACTGCGCTGTTGTTCGGTCTTATTTGGTTGCTCGATGCCCGAAGTATCAGGACTGCATGTTACTGTTGGCGATGTAGGATGGGTTTTGAAAACAATGTGGACCGTTTTATCCAACTCGATAGGAATTGTTTCCACGAGAATTTCGCCTCTACATAATTCTGTGTTGATTTCCTTTTCGATGTTGCGTAAATTGGCAACTAACAAGACTTCGTCGTCAGCACTCAGAGGACGCCTATGCTGTGTGTTCTTTATCTTCACGTCGATTTGTGTTCTAAGAGAATTGAGCAAATTTCGGTATCGTATTAATTGACGCATAAATGCGCGTTCATGTTCTTTAATAATAATTTTTACTTCAGCTTGCCTGCGCTCATACATTTGTTCTATATAAGTATGAGCATTTACTCGCCAATGTTCGAGTTCATCGAATGGATCTCGTTCACTCGGTTGCCAAACGGTCAATTGTTGAAATCGTTCGTGGATCTCATCTAATGTCTCCTTTGCCGAGAGCATCGATAGTTTCACTAAAAACGATAATGGGTTGCCTACTTATGCAAAAAAATAAAAACTTAATTTTTCAACAAGAAAAAAAAACACAACAGTTGGATGTAACTGTTCTTTTTGTTGTCTTCGTCAAGAATATTGACACAAGATATCGATGTTAGATGCATCAACTTTTTTGCGTTTTTTACTTCTGTTTTTGTCCATGCTGGTAGAGTACCGAGATGGATTGCAATGCATGTCAATAGAGTTTATATAAATATTCGAAAGTTTGTTTCGAGCAGTATACTGTTATAAACAATAAATCCACGAAATGATTCAGAATATTCAACGAAAAAACACCTACAAATGCCTATGGGCGGTCGACCAAGGGGATCAAGTCGAAGATGTACTGGAAGTGGATGGCGAAAAGAGGCGCCAGTGTCGATGTAGAAATAGTCGTTATTCAAATGAACTATTTGTCGAAGATTACGAAAGTCATACTATCTGCTGTTTATTCTTTTACGGGTTACCAGAACTTCGACAATAGGAATTTTGCAAATTGGATTTTCGCCAATATTGACGAGGATCCATTACACCACTGTCAATATGAGTGAAACTCTTACATTGATCAGAAACATTGGTATCAAATATATGTATAAATGTATGGATCAGAACACATTTAAAGAATACAAGGTATAATTCTCGCATATGTGCTGTGTTCATAATGTTCTGCGCCAATTACTGAAAATACATTTAACTTTCGCCAGTACTGGCATAAGTCCATAAGACACTCGCCAATCAATTGGCGAAAAGCAGGGATCCCGAATCTTACATAGACATTCCAAAACACATCGACCATCTTCGCCGTTTGTGAATTCAATTATCCACATTCATCATGATTCGTTCGATGTACTATATAGATACAACAATAATATTAGTGATCAAACATCTTTAGTTGTTCTTTTATTTACTTTCTTTTTTAACTATGACAGTGAAAAATAAACGGCAAAGTTCTTTGTATTTCAATATTGAGAGAAATCGCAAAAGAAATTATGTGTCTTATCTTTATCATCTTTTTCTGGCATTAATAACAGTGATCATTGACGAATATCTTTGACGCGTCATTTGTTAGTTAGAAAGTGTTCTTTTTTTTATCTTTGTTTGTATAAATGGCCACTCATGTCATCATAGTTAGAACATTCGACAACAACATTGCCAATAATACCTCGACTATTTCTCGATTTCCAACATGCATCAAGTTTCGAAACGCTAAGGTTATATTCCATTGAGGACGTAATGATTAGATGAGAACCTCAAAAAGACAAAAATAACAAAGATTTGAAGAACACTAAAGCAAGTCAACTTAGTATGTGTTCTGATGTTATTTGTCTCATTGCCAACAATAATATCTAGATAAGGATCGAATACTCTTGTATCATCAGAAGCGACCAAGAACAGGTATGAGTGTGGGGTATGGGTGTGAATGGTTGTGTTTTCTTCACCTTCTTTGCTCATGTGTAAAACAGCTGTGAGTACAGCTGATTACATATAATGAGTCGTATAGATAATTAAACAATCAATCGACAGCGTTCATTGGAAACATGTTGACAGGCATTGATAGAGTTCTTGTACTATTGAACTTTATTATGGCTTCTTTTCACATTGATTCTGACTTTGATCAATTGATTAATGGAAATATCAGTCTTTCGATTTATGATGACAAAACATGTTTTATTCTAGTAAAAACGTAAACATCTTTAGAGGAAGACTAACTTGCGACAGATTACAAGAATAATTATTGGCATTTTATGAGACTTCGTTTAATATTTATTGTCTCATTTTTACTCATACAAGAAAAAAAAACCATAGAATAGTCTGATGTGAGGTCAACTATTTTCAAGTCATTAGATTTCTTAAGTAGATTTTGAATCGACAGCTGAATCTAAGATTGTTATTGGTAATGACTCTTTTTTTGTTTGAGATATATCATCAACTGGTTCAGCTTCTGCTTCACTTAACTCAAAAGTTGTTTTACTTAATGTATCAATGGATATATGATGATCTACTGGTTGTGTTTTACAACATTTTCCACGTATGAGTTGATAAATAAGGACAAAACAGAATGGTAGAACTGATACATAGCCAGCAATTAATGGTATAATAGTTGCTTGACTATTTTCCGGTGCTGGTAATGAATAAAGTAAAACCATAAAGGCAATACCTATATGTTGAATACCTTAAAAAAGAAGCAAACAAGAAAATTCTTATTTGAACCAAAAAAAAAATTTTTTTATTCTATGAATCATTCAAAATTATTCATAAATATCGAAAAGTATCTATATTCAACACTTCTAGTAGAAAAACTATGAAAAAATCAAGGATTGTATTATATTTTGCTTGGTAATACAAATAAATAATGATAATTATTGATTAACACATATATATTTGCTTTACCTGTTTCAATTCCAATTGTTACAATTCGTTTCGAATCTTGTCTACAAATCCAAGCAAATAAACCACCTAATAAAAATCCTAACCATGGTAATAAAGGTATTGTTAATGCTGTTTGTAAATCAATATAATGAAATAAATAATAGTTAACAAAAGCACCAAATACAAAGAAATAACATATGAATAATATTAACATTGGTTTAAGAATACGTTTTATTATTGATTTTAATTTTGGAATAAAATGACAAATTATCATTCCTAATCCCATTGGTCCAATAATTGTTAATAATGATAGTAATAAATTTAAAAATGGTATACGAATTTCAAGTTCACGTAAATAAGCATATTGTCCAAGTGTATATAACCATAATGGCATCATAAAAAATGATGCAACTGTTGATGCAAATGTCATAAATGCCGATAAATTAAGATCACCATCAAATAGAACTGTCCATTGATTTGATGCTGATCCACCTGGACAACATCCAACAATAAATAAACCAAGACCATATAATGGTTGATATTGAAAAAGTTTTGATATCGAAAAAGCTATTAATGGCATAAAAATGTATTGACAAACAAAACCTATTGAAATTTGTATTGGTCGACGAATTAATTCTTTCAATATTTCGATATCAAGTAATATACCCATTTGAATTGATATAAACATAAGCATAAATGGAGTCAAATTTTTAAATATTTTATCCCTCATACGTTCTGGTTGAGATATAATTAAAACAATCGAACAATTAATAGAATAAATATGATTTTTTATATTAATAATTTCAATAAAATATTGAATATTTGTTTGATTTATATATTTTGCATGTATATTAAAATTATAAATCATAATTGATTCATTATCATATTCTATGAAATCGAGTAAAATAACATACGATACAAAAGTACTGGCAAACAAGATCTAATTTTATTTTTGTTCATAGACAGTCTTAGAAAGAAAATTTGTTTTTATTATCCGTAATACTTTTCATTCAATTTAAAATAATGATGCTAGATATCAATACTTCTTCTTTAAGCATGTATTAGAGTGTTTGTCTTTTTAATTGCATGATAGAAAATCTTTTCCTTTTTCGAATGGTGTATAACTTGTGTTTCTTCCCGTATTCATTTGTAAAGTGAAGTGAGAAATGTTCGCATAAGAAATTTATCATTTATTGACTAATCAAAGCAGTTTTATAAAATAGTCGTTCATTTGTTTATCAAAAAATAAATACACTACTGTAAAAAAAATTCAGAAGTTTTGAACAAAGTCTCTTCAAGATAGGAAACTTTCAAAAAATTCATGTCCTATACGCTATCCATGAAAAACAGTCTATATCTTGAAAGTCTCATATCTTGAAGAGATTTTATTGAAAACTTCTGAAGTTTTTCTAAAGCTTCAAATTAATATTCGAAAATATGAGTTTTTCAAAAACTTGAGGTTCAAGCAATAAGCACGAAAAATGTGATAGTTTAATCAAACATCAATAAGAACTCAAATCCTTTTCGAGTTTGTGTTAGAATACTGTAGAGTATATATATAGACGAAAAATCATTGAAATCAGAAAAACCAATTTCTGAAGAGAGTTCCGTCACTAACAAATTCCATTAATTATTTAATTTTATGTACATCGCTTTTTTTCTAGAGCATTTGTTATTTATTGATTAAAAAAACTTGAAATATTTCTTATGTGAGTATTTCTCACGTCACTGTAATGATGAATACGTGATAGATACAAATTGTATTTTGTTCTAGAAAGAAAAAAACGAATCCTATTGTCTTATAACAAAAGTATCGTTCTAATACGTGTCTAAAAAGACATACTGACACTTTGTGTCATCATTTTGAACTCAATGAACACTACTGAACTATTTTTAGAATGTCTCTGTTTTTTTTTTCGCATGTCAGTTTACTTATTAATTGTCTAATAAGAATATGTCATAGATAGTTTGAAACAAGAGAAAATCTCTTATTGAATAAGAAAATGAGTTTTTCTTTTCATAACATTGTCTATGAAGAAATAGAAAGTTCGATCTTCTTTGCTAGTGCTTTTGTATTGTATATGGTTTATTTTTTTATTATTGTTAAGGAAAATCAAATAAATTGAAATTTATGCAAAAAATTTCGAACATATATGAATATTTCTATCAAATTTAAAATGATTGAATTTGAATTATTACTTACGCTTAATATTCTTCGTTAAATGAAAAACTTTTTCAATTTTATCACGATGATCTTGAAATTCTGCTACTTTCTGATCACTAATAAATGCATGCAAACGTATCGTATGAATATTCAATTGTTTAAGTCGAGTTCGATTGAATTTCATACGTAACATTCGTGTAGTAAATAATGGTATTGTAAAACTATTATTATTAATGCATAAAGATGATACTTGTTTCATAATCGATCGATTTTCACAACTGCATGGAAAAATAAATACGATTAATAAAAGAAAAATTATGAATCTAAGCATTTTCTTTGTTTTTTTTTGTTCTTGATATAATTATAAACAAACTAAATAAATACGTAGAAGTAAAGTAAAAGTATTTATTAATATGTTTCTATTCGTTCTCCATGATTGATTTTGATTATTTTTTTGTCTTGCTAGTTTTTTTTTTTTTATTTGATATATTAGGTGATCACCTTGACTTGCATGACTTATAACAGTTAGATACGTCGATCAATCGCTTTTGATGTTCGAAAAAAAAAACACAAAACATTTACATGACACTGTCTTGATAAAATACAGCATTTTATCTCACGTATAACCAGAGAACATTTGAAATTGTATTACAAAAATTGATTTATTATTTGGTTTTTTTATAAAACGTTATGAAACAAGTCAAAAACTAGTTTTAATCAAAATTTGTAGACATTTATTAACAAAGTATTATAAACAAATGTTTAAAAATAAAAGAATATACCACTGGTTTCAATAAATGATGTTTGATAAGTTCGTTGTCGATATTTAACGTTGTTTATGAAAGAAAGACGTGTGATACTAATCGAGTATGACAGGATGATTAAATATGAAAATTTATAAGTATTGTGTTTGTCGAAAAAATGTCTATTGAATTGTATTCGAAGTTTCTAAAAACAATCCTTTGGTAATATTTCTATAAATATTTTAGTGACAGTTATTGTTAGCTTCGTCAAATTAGGTTGCACGAGTTGATTCATTCGTATTAGTCATAATTAGCATAGTTAACCAAATCTTATTTATTTTTGCGTCTAATTTAAATTATTTTATGAATAATATTGTTTTATTCGATAGTTGAAATATTTCTTTATCAGTTCATACTAATCTTGATTTACAATTTTAATTGATGTTGAACTATGAGTTGATTTATTTTAATTCAATTTACTAATCTAATTTGTCAAAAGTTTCTCTTCCAATGAATATCAATTAAATTTGTTTTTCCCTTCGATTTTATCATCTAGTGCTTCGAATAAAATCATTAAGATATATTCTATTTAAAGATAATCAGAAGCAAGTTTGTAAAGACTGAACTGAGTAGTATGGTTTTTCATTGAGTTAAATGTTTGTTCTATTTATTTAAGCGGCAAATCATTCACAGCAATCATGATTAATAGAAAATTAATATATATATATTATATTATTGTATTTTGCGTTCATCTTAAAAAGAGAACAATAGATTTTGAAAAATTATAAATGAAAAAAAAAATACTTCTATATTATATAAAATATTTGTCTAATGATAATTAATTAATCTAGAATTTTATATTATGATAATCTAAGAGAATAATTTTGACATATTATGAGACTCACTATAATCAAATTGAAGATTTTTTAGAGCTTCCTCAAAAATCGATCTTGGACCAAGTACATTGGAATCGCATAAAATTTTCAGGATATGTTATGGCGATATTGAAGAGGCTATGCTGAAATTTTCAACTCCAGATTTTGCTTTTATTTTTTTTTCTGACAGAGAGCGTCAGACTGCAGTGCCCTTTTTTTGTTTGAAATTCGTGCTCTTTCTCCAAAGAAATAGGATGACACGTTTAATACTTCAAGATTTGTTCATTTATTTATAAAAAAGTTAAATTAGAAAATGATGAGCGTTCTAGCATCGCATTCTCTTTGAACCAAAAAAAAAACACAGCGATGAGCTAAAATGAACCTCCTTGGAGAATTTTGAGATTTGCAATCAAAAAAGCATATTTTTCAAGCAGAAGATGTTGACAATCATCCAAAGACGAGATACTAAATAAAAAAATGATATTTTTTATGAAAAGTCAGATTTTGATCTGTTTTTGTCAATGTGGGTTTTTCTTACGCAGTTTGACTTTGTTTTACAGAGGAGCGTACAATCTAAGTTGTGTACAAACATTAAAAATTCTCATTTAATTATAATCCAAATTGGCATTTAATTCATATCAATTTATTAACTGATTCAAATTTATCTATAAATTTGCAACACTACTGATTATACTCATATAGAAAACTCAGCTTATCTTTCTCTTCATAATGATCGAGTGCAGAGTTTTTAGACCCAAACCATACTTCTAAGAACAACGAACATTTTTTGGCTTGAATCTCATGATTGCTCCGAAGATGAAAAATACTATTGATCGATTTTTTATATTCTGCGCCTAACATATGCTTCACATTTTGTTTTAGACACTCTTGACCATGATCTTATAGCAAACAAGTCATAATTGAATGTTACTTTTAAAGTACAACCCATAAAGTCGATTCCGAAGCTGATCAATAGAAAATTTGTTGACCCGAGTATCGTAAGATCGGCGTCTAACTCGAGCGACTTAAAGCAATGATCATTTTCTTTTGTAATAAAGCCAATTAAATAAATTTACACATATATTTTAAGAGTCATTTCTGTATGTATTCCTCCGAAAACTATTATTAATAACAATAAATCAAATCGAAATTCTTTTTCGCATCAACTTTGATCTATCAGAAGTTTATTTTATTCTTCTAAACATACTAACTATCAACTTTACTTTCAAACAAACAGCAAAATAATGCAACAAAAAAAAAATTAATACTGTTGTTTTACAATATAAATATGCTTATAGATGAATTATTATTCTTTATTTTGATATTCAATAGGTAATTATGTTTGTTGATATTGTTTAATTATTTGACAATGATCATATTCTCGTCTTGTACATAAATCTTTACATTGAAGGACAATTGTTCTGGCTTTTATAATTCGTTTTCTTAAATTTTCCATACTTGTTCGACTTCCAGCATATGATCGTCGAATATCATAACGCATATCTTTAATAATTTGTAATAAAAATAAATATTTTTCAGCTAATATAGTTGATTGTGGTTTAATTGTTATTGGATGAATTGAATGAGATGATGAATATAAATGATGATTTGTTATTAATGAATAACGTAAACGTTTTGTTGGTGTTGAATTCATTTGTTGTAAATGATATTTAAATAGCGCGAATTTAAAGTAATGAACATTGTTGTTTATCACGAAATGGATTATCTTTAGGTGATTGAAAACCCGTAACAAGTGCATCACTTGATTGATGATCAGTAATATAACGAACAAGATCTTTACAAACAATTGATACTTTTGTACGTTCACGTCTGGCTTCTTCACGTAATTGTTCACATAGACGTCGTTGAGCAGCAAGTGCATTTTGTGAATGATCTTAAATATTCATAAGAGATTAGTATCAAATGATAAAAAGGAAAATCATAAAGTATTTTTAATCTGAGTCATGCAAAGTAATTTTGTTCAATATCAAAAAAAAAAATTCTCATACATGTCAAAATGAATGAACTTTAAGACATGTGTATATTTATGGATTGTGAAAGCTTCCGACTTTTGATTCATTGTTAAACAAATCTGATTAAGAATCAACTTTCGGGAGTTTTCTTTTATCCTTCTGAGATAGAATAAAAAACAACAATATGTAAAACTTACAGTCAGGTGCGTAAGATCGAGATGAAGAAAAATTGTCTGATATGCGTCGATTTGGAACAGCATCACGATTTGTTGAAAACTGGTTGCCAGCATTAGTGTTACCTTGTGGAGCAGACATATGAAATGATTTATAAGCTTGAAATAAATAATAAACGATTTAATAGAAAATTGTTTCCCGAAGATTTTTGTAGTAGTTGTCGTTTTGTTTTGCTTTAATAATGAAAATAATATTAGTTGTTGATAGTACAAATCAATATAATTGAAAAACTGACTACCTTTATTGTTCTTTTTCTTTTGCTGTGCACTTTGTCAATCAATTTTTTCTATATATATTAAATCAAAACGTCTGGTACCAGTTACAGTAGTAGTAATAGTAGTCGTAAATGTCTAACAAACCTTTTCTTCTATGATGTAAAGAAAGAGAGAAGAGCTAGTTAGAATAGAATATAAATAGTAATAATAAAAGGAGAGCAGAAAAAGAAAATGCAACAAGAGTTTTTTTTTCTTCTTTGTCCTAATAAGGCTATTTCTTTTGAAGGAACTCGAGGACAATTTCTCCTATTGCATTTTTTCTCTCTTTCTTCTTCCTTTTTCCTTTTCTAAAACACTTAGATAACAAGTAGTACACAAAGTTTGCAATAGTTTTGTTTCTCTTATATCTTATTGAAGAAGAAGCGTTGAAGAATAGCGAATCGTTTTTTTCTTTAAGAGATTGCCTGTGATGTCTCTTCAATAGACATTGTTTTCTGATTGTTTCAATTAAACATTATGCAATAATTTAAGAATGTAAGAATTTCTAATGAATAAAAAAACGATTCTCAAGTATTCTAAAAACAAAAAAAGTATTTTATTGTTTCTTTTCTTGAAGAAGAAATAATGTTAAATATAAGTATACAGGTGAATAGCCTATTAAAAATTTATTAATTGTACTCTTTCAAAAAACTTCAATTTTACTTAGAAATAAATGAATAGCTTCTAACATCTCAATTTTTCAAAACTGCTATTTTTCAGTTGATGGTGTTTGAGTATCGAAAAACGTTATTATAGTTGGACTGGTACATAATCCGAAAAAAAAACGTTTTAAGCTCCCCGTCCTCAGACAAAGTCAGTTTTTGTCAAATTCATCAAGTTTGTGATTTATAACTCGTTAGATAGAGCAAAGTGTCTACTTTCGAATGCACTATAGTTGATTGATTTTATGACGAGCTTTAAAAATATTACGTAAGTTTTTCTGAATCTCCATATTGAAAAAAATAAGGTTTTTAAAAACTAATTTTCCGTTTTTCTTAAAATCCTTTTTTTTTCGAGTATATTGTTTGCGCGCGCAAACCTTACTCAATAATAACTCAATATAAGAGTGATAATTTCTTTTTATTGCATAGAGAACAGTTAGGGCTAAATCCTAATAGAGCCCGATTTTTGAATTTCTCTATTGGTGAAATAAAAAACCTATATATCCCATTTTTATCAGCGATTTTTTTGAACATCAATTCTGGAATTTTTCGGAGAAGATTTTTTATAGAACAAACAAAGGAAGTTTCAAAAATCGGGCTCTATTAGGATCTAGCGCAAAGGGTACTCTACGACTTAAAAACAGCCCCCCCCCTTCCTTATGTTAGCTCGTGTCCTGATTGTGAAAACCTTGCCCGCGTACAAGATATTTTTGACCAATAAATTGACTAGAACTTATGAATATCTCGCAGATTTCAGGAGATATTTTAACCATAATCTACTCTAGCCAAGACTAACATTCTCTGAAATTTCGGTTGAATTCCATGGAAAAATAAAAAAGTTTGTTTCTGAGGGGGGCTTAATACAGTTCTATAGACACTGATTCCAACTATCTAATGCATAGGATTATGATTGAGAATCGTTTTTTACTCTAATAGACATTCTCTATCATCTTAACAATTACGAATGAAAATTAGTTTAATGATATATTTTTTTGCTCAAAAGAAAAACAATTGAATAAACTATCACTGTTAGATATTACGTAATCGTACTTCTATGTTGCAGCATCAACTCATATAGGCAGATTTCTTACAATATTTTTATGATCAGTCAACTGTTCATGCACATTGTCATGTGAAACATATGTTGGTCAAGGAATCAAAATAATTAGTTGATAAAATAGAATTAGCATGTTCTTATAAACAATTGCGAAAACAAAATTTTTAGAAGATTTGATAATCCATTTTTTGAGAAAAGAAAAGCATTCATCGATTCATAGTGCTTGTATACTTAAGTATTTCAAGAAGAAAAAAAAAATTAATGTGCAATATTTACATAATGCATCAATAATAATACAAATGATATTACTTTAAGAAATACAAGAACAAAGAACATCAGGTCGTATTTCTTCTCTCTTGTTAATAATTGTTTATAAAAGAAAGATATGACGACAAAAGAAGAAGATAACGTGAGAATGTATCACTTGAAACTTCTTTTCAGTATGAATATTGAATAGGAGAATAATTATTCTGAATAGAGTTTGATCTAGTTTTTATATAACATCTAACGCTTTCTTAATAATTACGTAAAATAAATTATTTTTAATTATTTAATAGTGAAAAAACAAATATGTCTAAATTTAATTTTGTGCCATATAATTCATCACTAAATGTTCAATATCCTCTTTTATTATAATAGTCATACCCATAAATATATGTGACCCAATATGACAATGTAACAACCATAAACCAGGATTGTTTGCAATTAAACGTAATTTAATCCAACCACAAGGTTTTAGATAATTAGTTGATGTTCGATTTGGTGTTAAATATGAATATGAACTAGCATAAAGTGTTAGTGTATCACGTAAAATGGGATTATTCGTATCAGGATTTAATTTTTCCGATGGATTATACATTCCACTACCTTGTGAATGTATCCAAAATTTATGACCATGTAAATGAAATGGATGTGATTCACAAACACCATTTGTTGCAACAGTATTTTGAAGAACAATATCAATTAATTGATTTTGTTTTATTGAATAAATAGCATCATTTGGTAAATTATCTTCAACACCATTATAAACATCTAATAATAATGGTTGAGTTAAATTTATTAAACGTAATTTATCTAGTGAACTATTATTTATTATCCATCGCATACCTAAACCATCAGGTGTACGAGATTGGAAACCATACAGAAATATTTCTTTATCAACTGATCGTCTTGGCATTTGATCGGTTTCTAATAATGTTTCATAAGGATCATTAAGTGAAAATAAACGTAAATGTTCTTCATTTGATAATAATGGAAATGGAAAAGAAGATAGATCTGTTGGAATTTCTGATATTATACTGTAACGTAATATACCTGAACAACTGAGATGGAAAAAAATATATTATTAACTTTTTTATGTTTAATTGATGAAAATGAGAAAGAAAATCTTTTGAATAATTTACTCTGCAAGAGTTTCTTTTTCTGTTAACATTCATTTTTTATGAGAAAATATTCGTTGTGTGTTTCAAATGAATATATATGAGATTTGTTTTATGCATCAAATTTCTTTTGCATTTAGCTAAATCTTCTTAATACTAAGAAATAATTTAAAATTCTATTGTAAAATATCGATTACTGAATTTAAATTCTATTATTAGTACTTTATCAAAATAAACTACTTTTGAAATACACATAGAATTTTTTGAAAACTATTTTTTCTAAAAATTAAAATTTACAAAGCTATTATAAAAATATGAGATTAGTTTGTGAAATTAGCTTGAACATATGAAAATATGTGTATTATGATTTTGTTTTTTCTCCTAACATTTCACTGGTTCAATATGATAGACATATGTTTTTGTTATTTCCGATTGTGCTGAAAAAAAAATTGGGTACCATCGTAAATATTTGGTCCTCCGTTTGAATAGCACGATAAAGTATCTTGATAGTGATAAAAAGTTTTTTTCCTTCATGCTAACTTTAATATATCTTAACAACAAACGATAAATAGTTACTTTTTTTTTCCTTTATCAAGTGTGTTCAACAAATAATACATTATATTATCTATGTTTCTCATTGAGTTATTCAAAAGTCATGAGAACAACGAAATGAATATATCAATCTTTTCTAAACAAGTTGCCGATTCCGTTAAAGAAAAAGACTTAATTAAAAAAAAAAGACGTCTGTTTATTATACAATAAATGCTTGTCTTCAAATATTTGTTATTGAATGTGTTCTGTTTTATTTCTCTTCTAGTAGATTGTTAAAAAGAGATATCAGAAAGGTGTGATAGACTGGAGGCGATTTTTTGCTTCGTCTCATAAAAGTGATGTTTATTTTTCATACTATGAAAAATATTATACCTTGATTTTTTGATAATTACAATTATAAATATAAAAACAATTTTAATTATGAATCACTCAAACTGTCTAAATATTCTTAATAAATAATTCAATTATGAGATTTACCTTGCATCATTAGTTGATGCTCTCCATCGAATAGCTAATTGCATAAGATATATTCCTTTTAGTTGGTTTTTTGTTTCAATAATAACTGCATATCTTTGTCCAGATGAAAGTTCAATTGATTCAATATTATCTTTTGGTTTAATTAATGTACCATCAACTTCAACAACTGTCATCGGATGTTTATCGATTCCGAAAACAACTGTTGATAATGATGTTGCACAAATTAATCTTAGTAAATATTTTTTATTAGGATCAACTGTTAAAACAAAATCACGTTTTCCATTTATGAATAAATATGTTGGTTCACCTTGCCAAATAAATGGTGATGCTAATAGATTATGTTCTTGTTGAAGACGATCAGGTTGAAACCATAAATCAGAAAAAAGTAATGGTCCCGATGATACTTCAGATATATTCCAAGATTTTTGACGATCATGCACAATTAATGAACCAAATGCAGTAACAGATTGTAAACCTGCATGTGAATGATAAAAATGTGTACCTGCTGGATAAGCACGAAATACATAGGTAAAAGAATGTTGACTTTTTATTGGCATTTGTGTTATATAAGAAACTCCATCCATATGTGGAGTTTGTTGAACAAGCATACCATGAAAATGTATTGATAATCTTTCACTGGTTGGTAAATAATTTGTAACATGAATTATTAAAATATCATTTAGTTCAGCTTCAATCAATGGACCAGGTATTTGATTATTAATAAGAACAATTGATGAGGAGTTTTGAGCATAGGAAACATTTAAATGAAATACAAGACGATAATTATTATCACTTGCTGAATTTATTAAAGGAAATATTGAAAGAAAAATAGGATGAAGAAAAATAGAAATCATTATTAGTTTTTATTTTTGAGAAATGAACAGATCTATAAAATTACAAATGAATATTTATTTGAAATACTCGATATCAAATATATTCTAATTTGATTGAAAACAAAAGCAAGAAATGTCAGAGTGAGGATAAGGTTGAAGGAGAGTTCGCTTTTTTTTTGCACTGTTATTTTCAACATTTTACTTTTCCATTAAACCTAGGAGAATTTGATATTAGACTGTCTTTGCTTTTTGTCAAATCAATCGTATATTAGAAAAGTATGATTTTAGTATTAGGTACAATAGAGCCAGAATACTCATTATTTGTTTTACTAAACTTCTGTCTCTTGTAAATAAAGAGACTTTTTTTTATTGAGAGCATTCCTAGAATCTTCGAATTACGAATCAATCATTGAGAAAAAGATCTTGAGCAAGCTCTCGACAAATCTTTTACTTTACAAGAGATAGATTTCGAACAAAAAAAACAAGCAATCAACATAATGTAAGTTCTATGGCTGATGCAAATATCATACTGTTATTGTAATGATACTTACTATGGACACTTGTCAAATGAAAATATCAAATATTCTGTTTTGTATTTTTCTCTATTGTATATCAGTCAAGCGTAGAATGGTCGATATTTTATAGTATTCTATATAGTATGTAACGTAAAACGGAATAAATTTTGTGTTTATTTTACCTTTTCGCACTGTTACAGGTCATAACAACTCATATCGCAGATAATTATATGATCGTACCTATGACGAAGTAGTAAAAAGAAGAAAAATATACATAAAGAACATTGAAATGTTATTTTTTAGAGCTTTTATTTGTCCGCTTGTCAATTACAGATGCATTATTTTTGTTTTTTTTTCATATTTTATGCATATTAATATGAAAATAATTGTTCGAATTTGAAATATGTTAATTTACAAAAGGTTCTCTATCTGATTGTCTAGTGCAATGAATAATTGTGACAAACCATAAGCAAAAAAAGTTGACAAAATTGACTTATGTATTTAATGGATATAAAAATCAACAATGAATAGGTCGAAAACATTTTAAAATGTTCACATAAAAAAATGTCCTCTACAGTCCGTTCTTCAAACAATGCCCTTATTTAAAATGCTCCTGATCTTCAATTGTTGTTTTTCTAATAGACAACTGAGCAAAGGTATTTCTCTTCGGATCTTAGTTCATATGAAAGTCAAACATCTGAAAAATCTTTTGCAGGTAGTTCGCAAAAAATGTAAGTCAAGAGTAACATCAGTGCCAAAATCGCTCAAGCTAGGACGGAGTAATAGGTAGCGCCTACGATCACTGTGAATTTATTAATTCGAAAATAAATAAACTTTTTGAGTCGTTCAAATTTTCCATTCTGTAGTGCTACATTATAGCTAATTTTCAATATAAATTTTATCGAAAGTCATTACGCTATTGACGATCTAGACCATGTTTTCTAAAAACATGAATAAGCAAGAAAAAAGCATTGAATGCCAGTGAACGGTTAATAACTCGGAGATAGTTTGATCGATCAATTGAAAATTTTCAGAAGATATTCTACTATGATTGGATATTGTTTTCTGGAAACTTCATAAGTTAGCACTTTACTAAACGAACATCGTGCATCGCTGACCATCACGAATTTCGCAAGGCTTTGAAGTTTCTATTACCGAAATAAATGAAGTCATCTTTTCAATAATGAAGGATTATGAGTTAGGCTGCAATTTCATATTGAAAAATCGATAATTACGCATATATTTCCTTAAAAATAAACCATAAATATGTGAATCCATTTATTGCTATTTTTCTGCCAGATGAAGCAATTGTCTTTATTTGCTGAAATTTGGATAAGAAAATCGTTTCTGATGGTTTGAAGTTCTTAAGAAAAAATATAACTACCTGTAGACTATTTGGAGAAGAATTTTCAGACTATTAGTTCTCATAGGGACAAAGATCTGAGGGTGATATATTTTTAGCAAGCAGTGTAAAATGTCACTGAAACCTAAACGCCGGAGTACTTCACGCATACTTTGATAAATATTTAACTTGTTTATATAGAAGATTTATTTCTATATGAAATGAATCGAGCAAGAGCAAGAAAAGATATGGGCATAGGGTCTGCGCATGGATGAAGAATCTAATTACACCCACTCACTTAGTCTTGGTCTTTTAGGAAGATTTTATCATCGTGTAGCACGGTTACAGAAAAATACTTTTATTCTCCAGGGCCGTTGATAAATCTCCAATTTTTGATGAAAGTATTTCTTCAAATCCAATGCTTCTAGAGCTCGTTTTGCAGAGTACCGAGCGGGCTTTTAAATGGCAAAAAAAGGTTTTCTCTAAACTATTTCACTCTGATAAAAAATGCAAAAAAAAGTCTGATACACAAGTTTTCGTAACCGATTTTAAGGCACTTTACTTACTCAATAATATTTGATTTTGATAAATATTGGTCTTTGCTGTATATCTAATTGTTCCACGGCAAGAAACAAGTGGCTTCGTCAAAACGTGAACACATTAACTATAAAGTATGTTGGAAACTGTACAAAGAATTAAATTATGCATTGAATGAGATATAACTTGGCAGTTCATGAAAAAGTTTTTAGTTAAAAAATTCAAAATATGATTTTTGATGCTAAAATTCAAATTCTCACAAAGAATTAATGCCAAATTTGTGATTAGCATGAACAAGTGCCCTTGATAATTTATTCAGATCTGTCTAATTTCAAAATACGAAAAGCAGGTATCGGCTTTTCGTAAATATTTTCCTGCTATCAAGAGAAGCGAGTTTTTCGATTTTAATAGCAAAACGCAAACATAACAGACCCTTGTCTACCAAATTTGCCTAATAAAATTTGATTCATATGTAAAGCAAACGTCACATTTGAAATCAGCATGAAAAGCTGAATCGAATGGCATATGTTGTGCACACACATTGTGTTTGACAATAACAAACCCCAGGAGTCTATAGGTGTATTGCTTACAAAAAACGACTAAGGAGGAGTATGGGTGTGTTTCTAACAAAGAAATATTTAGTTGAAATACATATTATTCGATTTCTTTTTTTGTGCTGATGTCGAATATAACATTGATTTCACGATTCAATCAAATTTTCATAGTCAAAATTGACAGATGCAGGTCCTTATTTGTTGCATTCTACAAGTGAAATCGAAAACTTCATCTCTCTTGATAACTGAAGAATATTTTTACGAAATATTTTTCTGTCGCAAACAAAGCTTGCTTTATTAGCATGATACACAAAAAACAAGAATACAATTCATCTCGTGTTTTGACGGTACGTCAGTTATTTTAAATGACGAAAAATGTAACTGTACGGTCTCTTCTCCAGTTTTACAGAGAGAACGAGCAAAACTAATATGAAGATGGCAATAAAAATAATCAATGCGAACTTTGACGTATGATTGGAACTACTACACAGTTTTGTATGTTATCAGACGTTACATGTATTTTAAAATACTTTGACTTGAACAATTTTGAAATAGCATTTTTTTTATTCTCAGTTCGGCAAGCTCTATCGAAATATATGCAAATGAGTGAAAAATCATTCTAGAATATTGATTCGTTAAAATATCTGCACCTTAAGTGTTTTAAGGGAATCTTCCCTTAGAAAATCGAGTTTTTCAGAAAAATATCGAAGTTGAGTTTTATCACAGGTAGATGCAATAAAGCTTCCTCTTTCAGAATATGTATAGTTTTTTTGGAAAATGATTCGATTTTCAATGACTTATCACATGAAACTTTACATCTACTACCATGTTTTTGGAGAAATTTTCGTGGCTTTTAAAGGTTTTCAGTTTCAGAAAAATTGCGCTTCCACTTGCAGTATCATTGAATAAAATATTTTTATATTAATCAGCATATCAGAGGGCGTTAGCTACCTTTATCTCTTATGTTCTTTAAAATGATCCAGTGGAATATACCATTGTAATATGATTTGTTCTGGATTTGAATGAAAGCATCCATTTCTAAAACTTCTTTAGCATTTTTCTCAAAACACGGTTTCTAAACAGAAAAATTGAAATAACTCACACTCGACTCGGCATATAACCGATGTTTTTTTTTGTTTTAAAGGTTTTAATTAGAGCTAACTTTTCATCGGACAGATTTTTGTTACTCGACACCAGGGCTGAGAAAAATGGGATTTACTGTCGTAGAGTCACATTTTTTATGCTTATTTTGCAAACATATTCACAAAATTGCTCATAAAAAATAAATGGAAGGAAGTTTCAAAATTCCGTCTCATAAAAAGTTGCGTACAGAGGCTAGCTCCAATTTGAAATCAGTCCGAGCTCTGTACCCATTCTAACGATGAAGTTATTCCGATTCTCCTGGGAGGTAGGAAAATAAGCCCAAACTTTGATCTAGTCAGGCATATCAGGCTAAAATTTTTACCACAAGTGTTTCTCACTAAGACTAATCATTCCTGAAAATTTCAGTCCAAACGGTGGGTGTGGGAAATCAATTTTGAGGGGGGAGGGGGGGGGGGCAAGAGCTGAAAATAAAACACGATTTGAAAAATAATAGTTGCCTTTACTTTGATTTTCGTAATGATAAGTAATCACTGATAACGGTCAAAGCAATAATGCAAACTTCATATTCACAGTGTTTTTAATATATAAACTTATTAAGAGACACTGCATGAAAAAACCGAAGATAGCCAGAACATGAGGGTCAACCGATTTATGATTTGATCCCCTATGAATTTCGAGCCTTATGTACCATAGATGAATCCAAAAGATTACGGCGTAAAGATTTATTTGTGGTCGGCTAGAGCGAACGGACTCGACACACATTCAAAAAATGCTCAAAAACTGTAAAATTTTGACCTATACATTTTTTGAATTTTTTGGTTCGAAATTTTACGCTGTTCAAATTGAGTTATATACCAATCGATAGAGCTTGACTTTCTCTACAAAACTGTATATATGTCATTTCTATCTGACATGAATTTAAAATCGAAAAGGTCCTAATACTATGTTTTTTCGACATATAAAATTTGG